TGCCACAGCTCCTGGCTGGAAGGGAAATGCTGTCACCGACGTGTTACAGAAAGGGAAATGAGGCACAGAGCAATTTTAAATAACTTGCCCAAGGTCACAGGAAGCTTATAGCAAAGCAAGTAATTGAACCCAGGACTTGTGAGTCCCCAGTCTAGTTATTTATCAGAGATCATCCTTCTAATGGGGCACCTTTAGTCAGAAACCTTCCCAGTTTGCATACAAAAGCACTGCCAAGAGATTATGCTGAATTATATTGGCACAGAGAATTATTATGAGTTTCCCTTCCAGCCCAACACGCTCAAAGGGTTGTTTTGGAAATAAAATAAAATAAAACTTGCAGCATGTTCAGTGTGCTGGAACAGACAACTCGCCGAGCACTGCAGACAGCTAACCACCAAAGTGCTTGTAAGGCTCCAGATCAAGGTGGGAGATAAGGAGGTGTTTTTCCTCCGCAGTTAATCACGTTGTTTTGAAGGGTGGCCTCCAGTGAGGAAGAGCTTGCCAGTTCCTGAGTTTCACCTTGGATTTGCATCTTTGTTCATAAATACCTCTGGATGAAACAGAATATTGCAGCCTTACCACTGAGCCAAACATCAAAAAGCCTTTCCCTTCGCACGAGGCCTCTCCTTGAACCTGGCGTGCCATCAGTTTCTGTTGCTACAAAAACAACTGAATGCACTTTACCCATGCTTTCATGGGCCACGGGCACAGCTCTTTGCCTTCCTAAAGAAAATCTGCCTACAGCATCTCTCAGCATACCCCAGTCCATTCACAGAAACTAGAAACCGCCTTCGCTGGAGCCTTCCATACCCTCAGGGTACCCTCACCGGGCAGGGCTGGTTGAAGGCATCTCGGTAGCATCCAGGCTGGCTGCTCCTGCGAGTCTGTGGGGTGGGGACGGCCGCTGTTGGTGCCCCAGCAGTACCACCTCCCCACGTACCCCAATGCCTTCCTGGGGGACAGCTCACCTCGCTCACAGAGCCCAGAGGAACAGCAGAACCCGGGCTGCAGCACCGTTCCATGCCCCAAACCCCTCTGACCTCCAGCACGGGGAGAAGCCCACGCACATGCAAACAGGAACAGCAGAACCAAATCCTTCTGATAGACAGATGGAATTTTTAATACAACAGACAATCAAACCACATCCGTGGATATCTACAGCTCTCAGATAATTTTCAGCTGATGACAAATAGTGAAAGTGTTGGGCAATAGGTTTGGAAAGGGCCATAGAATTTGCCTTTCGCGCAGTACAATGCGGGCTGCACAGGGGGGAGTCAAAACAGTCAGTGCGAGTCTAGCCAAGAAGTTTATGCAGCGTTTAAGCATCCAGTGGCCCCATCTTTCTGGGTACAAGCAATTTAATTTGTCACACTGATATTGTATGTATGACCTGAGCAGATAGGTCAATAAGAAATAAGACTAGGAAGGGAGGAGTGAGGGAAAGGGATGCAAGGGCATCAGGAAAACAGCGTCTGAGCTGCAAGTTGGGAAAACTTTACAGTTGCACATACTGACTGGGGAGATATGAAAGTGAAAACAGAGGTAGACCACTGCAGTCAGTTCCCAGAACAGCTTCACAGCTCCACGCTCAGGGCCACAGCCGCCTGCCTGGGGAGCGGTGAGCATTATTCAGTGCTAACCCCCAACCATCACCTTCCCAGGGAGCACCAAACTCTGTTGGCTCAACAGGAAGAGAGAAGATAAAAAAAGAGAACACTTCGCCTCCACTAAGACTCTGTCACAGAAAAAAACCCCAAGCACTACCAAATTACATGGATAAAGGACAATTCTGCTTTGCAAAGCCTTCGAGTGGGGAATTCTTTACTTTGCACTCTGCTGCAGATTTGCAGGTGAACATTTGCTCTCAGGAAAAATTTCTCTCTCGGGGTGGGGAAATGAAATATATCTTTTCCCCATCTCTTCTTTACTGGCAGAGCAGAGGCAGCTGTTCGGCGGAATAGCCCATCACAGCCGTGTGAGCATGGTAACCCTGCCCCAGCCCATTTTGCTTTAAGGCTACTCACCAGAAGACCTTGCTGTCGCTCTGCAACACCTGACCATAAACCCCGGTGAGGAGCACATTCAATGCTGTAGCTGGGACCAGAGATTTCACGCAGAACACCCGGTTTTGTGAAAGCACCATATGCTTTTCACGCCATGGGTCCTGTCTTCAGTACAACCACGCCGTCTGACCGGGATGAACCCCTCAGCCCTCTGCGAGAGCCAGCTCAGCAGAAGCACCTCCAGTAGGTTATTAGCAACAAGACCATACTAGCAGCCGTGGGCCTCCAGATCCATGGGCCCTAAACACAGGGATGAAGAGGCGTGACATCAACTATGCCAAAAATTTGCTTGCTTTGAAATCCTACTCCTGCTTATTTATGTTACAGGAGTACCCAGAGGCCTCAGCCAAGCCAACATCTGCCCCGCAAAGCTCGGGCTGGAGAAGTGCATTTGCACATGTAGTGGCCACCTCCACATATAGCTCCCGCCCCGTGGCCAGTCACAAAAGCAGCTCATAGTTTTGCAGTAGAAATAAGTAATAGCCACGGCCCAGGTTTTGAGGAGAGGAGGTGCAGCAGCGAGGCGGGCAGGCTGTAGGAGAGCTCCTGCCCAAGTGCTGGGAGCCAAGCCACCAGCTGGACGTCGCGGACACTGGTGTCCCTGGGGCTTTTCTAGTGCTCCCGTAAGCAGAGCTAAGCTCTGCCTCCCAGCAGCCAAAACACCCTGGTGAAACCGCTGTGCGCAGAGCAGGACGGCGCTCTGCAAACCCCTGCAAGGATGTAGCAAAGGTTGTTAACCTAAACAGACAGGTCTAAGATTGATTAGTAGGAAGGACGAAATCAAGAAGTAAAAATAACATTTCCAACACACCAGTGACATACCGAGCCCTTAATCCAACGGACTATTTACAGGCCAAGAGCATTCCTTGCTGCTCTTACCTTCATCTGTAAGGTCTGAGTCAACAATGGCTTTGGAGGAGCCTGTCTGAAGGCAACAGGCAGCCCAGGGAACAGCCGAGCCTGAGAACTGGGATTTGCAGGAGGGGAAGGGAAGTTAAATAACTGAAGGGACAACTAAGCACAGCTCACTAGATTTTGCTCCACAATCCAAGCGCTGAAAGTTGAAAATTCAAAACATTTCCTCCCTGAATGCATTAAATTCCCATTTTCTTATTTCAAAGTCTTCTACTTGCTTCAGCATCCAGATATGCACTGCCCAAATGCACTGCTAGGAATAGGGTGTTGTAAACAAAGCTTTACAAAAAAGGAAGGTTAACACACAACATATTTTTCCCATTACTTCAATACATCCTGCAAGCTCCGCAAGCGTGGTAAAGAAAGAGTCTATTTAAAAATCTAGGGTGGGGAAGAATTAGCTCACCAAAACCATAAACAGATTTGCTTTGCACTTTCAGTCCAAGAGAAAAACAAGACGGGCTATGTGCATATTGATGCACACAATAGCACAACCATTTTAAAAACAAATGAATTGGGAGGGAGAGGACACCAGAGGAGGGTGGGGAGAAAGGAGGAGTGGAGAGAAAGGGGCCAAGTCCTAGAGCAGAGATCCTGAGTTTGCTTCTTAAAGCTCCCTAAGAAGATATTGGAAAGCCTCCGTGTGCCAACACAGGACCGCGAGCATACAGAGAGGATGACACATGTTGCTACAATGCCACGATCTGTCTCTGGATGCAAGCCCTTGAGTAATAAACGACATTATTTTCTGCAGATGTAACACAAAGGAATCCTTCCCACTTACTCAGTGACCTTCCACACCAAGCATCCAAATACATTATTACTATCTTTCAGTGGCAAATACCAAGGGATATAAAATTTAATTCCCTTCTCCCTACTCTCCCTCCCAAGAGGCCCCAACTCTGTTTACCAAGTCAGAGAGAAGCTACAAAAGCTT